TTTGCTAGAGCTTTTGATTTGTTGATAGCTAACTCGAGTTTTCCAAAGAGGGAGGAGCACCTGGTCACCTTCCGGAGTTCAGCAGCCAAGACCCAAATTGACTATCTCCTCTGCAGAAAATGTGATAAAGGTTTATACACTGATTACAAGGTCATCCCAAGTGAGAACCTCACAACCTTGCATAGGCTCCTAGTAATGGACCTGGAGATCAAGAGGAGCAAGAAAAAGAGGGCGGTGTGGCAAACGTACTTCTATAGACAATTGAATAAGGAGGGGGACGGAATTATTGTGCTGGGTGAGTTGGAGTCAATGAGATTTTGGGTATTGTAAGCGTATTAAGGTGGAGGAGGTTGAAAGGGCTATGCGCAAGATGAGCTGGGGAAGAGCGATGGGGCCAGATGAAATCCTAGTGGAATTTTGGAAGAACGAGGGTAGAGTAGACTTGGAGTGGCTCACTGAGTTTTTAATGTCATTTTTAAGACAAAAAGGATGCTCGAAGAATGAAGGTGGAGTACGAGGGTTCCATTATACAAGAATAAGGTAATATCCAGAATTGCAATAATTATAGGGGTATAAAGTTGTTAAGCCATACTATGAAGATTTGGGAGAGGGTGGTGGAAGTCAGGATGAGGATGAGCATGTCTATTTTTGAGAACCAGTTCGGATTCATGTCGGGGTAGTCAACTATGGAAGCGATGCATCTGGTGAGTAGATTAGTGGAGCAGTATAGGAAAAGAAAAATGACTTGCATATGGTGTTTATCGACCTTGAAAAGGCATATGATAAAGTGCCGAGGGAAGTTTTGTAGAGGTGTCTGGAGGTTACCAGCGTTCCAGTAGCGTACACTAGGGTAATTAAGGATATGTACGATAGTGCTAAGACTTGGGGTGAGTATTGTGGGAGGGGAATTGGAGCACTTGTAAGTTGTGATAGGGCTGCACCAGAGATCGACTCTTAGCCCGTTTTTATTTGCCATGACAATGGACGTGCTGACGCGGCACATACAGGGGGTAGTACCATGGTGCATGTTACTTGTCGATGATATAGTTTTGATCGATGAGACATGAAGCGAGGTTAACGTAAGGTTGGAGGTTTGGAGGCAGACCTTGGAGTCTAAAGTTTTCAAGTTGAGCATGACTAATACAGAATACTTAGAGTGTAAATTTAGTGACGGGGCTCACGAGACACACATGGATGTGAAGCTTGATACTCAAGTTATCCTCAAGAAAGGTAGTTCCAAGTATCTTAGGTCTATTATTCAGGGTAACTGGAGATTGGCAAGAATGTCGCACATTGTATTGGAGCGGGATGAATAAAATGGAGGCTTGCATCTGGTGTCTTATGTGATAGGAATATACCGCCAAGACTTAAAGATAAATTTTATAAAGTGGTGGTCCGACCAACTATGCTATATAGGGCGTAGTGTTGGCTAGTCAAGACCTCACATGTACAGAAGATAAAAGTAGCATAAATGAGGATATTGAAATGGATGAGTGGGTATACTAGGAGAGATAAGATTAGAAATAAAGCTATTCGAGACAAAGTAGGAGTGGCCTCCGTGGAGGACAAGATGCGGGAATCGAGGCTAAGATGGTTCGGGCACGTATAAAGGAGAAACATTGATACTCCTGTCAGGAGATGTGAGAGGCTGGCCGTGGCGGGTTTGGAAAGAGGCCGAGGTAGGCTAAGGAAGCACTGGGAAGGGGTGAATAGGAAGGATATGGCACGACTTCAGCCTACTGAGGACGTGATCCTTGATAAGAAGGTGGAATTGAGGATAAAAACAGAAGGTTAGTAGGTGATTTTAAGTTTCTCCTTTTCTTACCAGTTACTTTAGTAGCATTCAGTTCTTGTATATTCTTAAGTAGGTCGTTATTACGTCACGTGATCTAGTTCACTTCTATTATCTTATTTCATGTTGTAAGTATTTAGTACTACTTATCCCCCCCCCCAATTTTTCCCTTTTCTCTCTCTTCTTCTTCTTCCCCCTCGTCGTCGTCGTCGTCCTCCTCCTCCTCCTCCTTCTTCTTCTTTTGTTTCTTCTTCTTCTTCTTCTTTTTCTTCTTCTGCTTCCTCTTCCTCTTTTTCCTCCTCTTTCTCCTTCTTTTCCTTCTTCTCCTTCTTTTCCTTCTCCTTTTTCTCCTCATTCTTCTCCTTCTCCTTCTCCTACTACTACTTCTTCTTCTTCTTCTTCTTCTTCTTCTTCTTCTTCTTCTTCTTCTTCTTCTTCTTCTTCTTCTTCTCCTTCTCTTTCTTCTACTTCTTCTCATGCTCCTTCTCCTTCTCCTTCTCATTCTCGTTCTCGTTCTCCTTCTCCTTCTCGTTCTCCTTCTCCTTCTCCTTCATCATTCTCCTTCTCGTTCTCGTTCTCCTCCTTCTTCTTCTTCTTCTTCTTCTTCTTCTTCTTCTTCTTTATCTTCTTCCTCCTCCTCCTCTTCTTCTTCTTCTTCTTCTTCTTCTTCTTCTTCTTCTTCTTCTTCTTCTTCTTCTTCTTCTTCTTCTTCCTCCTCCTCCTTTTCATCCTCTTCCTCCTCCTCCTCCTCCTTTTTCTTCTTCCTCCTCTTCTTAATCTTCTTCTTCCTCCTTCTTCCTCTTCCTCTTACTCTTCCTCCTCTTATTCCTCTTATTCCTCTTCTTCTTCCTCTTCCTCCTCTTCTTCTTCCTCTTCCTCCTCTTCCTTCTCTTCTTCTTCCTCCTTTTCTTCTTCTTCCTCTTCTTCTTCTTCTTCTTCTTCTTCTTATTCTTCCTCTCCTTCCTCCTCTTCATCTTCCTCCTCTTCCTCTTCTTCCTCCTCCTCCTCTTCCCCCCTTCTTCCTCTTCCTCTTCTTCTTCCTCTTCTTCTTCCTCTCACTATTTCTAAGCCGATGGTCTATTGAAAACAACATCTCTACCTACACTAGGTAGGGGTAAGGTCTGCGTAGACACTACCTTTTTCAAATCCCAATTATGGAAATATACTGGGTTTGTTGTTGTTATTGTAGTACTTTATATTATAACTAAAGAACTGAAAAGGTAATTTTTATTTTCAACAGGCATTAAATATGTTACATTCCTTATAAGAAGGTCTTAAGCCTCATTTGTTTGCACTTAATGGAGGTCTGAATTTTAATCATTCAGATCTCAGACATTAAGTGCGCTTGTTTTTAAAGTTTGAGTCTTAATTTTTCAGATCTTAATCATTAAGTATTTTTTTTACTTAACAACCACTTAATGGGTTTGAATAGGTTTGTAGATTAAGATCTATAACAGAGACTTAATTTCATTAAGATGCTATCACATATTCATTATTAACTGCCGCCACCGCCTACCCTTATCAACTACCACCATGACACCACCACCACCATACTCAACCCCACCTTCACCACCATCATCCTCAATCATAGCCTCCATTATCGACTATCACCACCTACTATCCCACCACTCCGGCCACAATCATTCTCACCCACAATCAACACTCATCTGCCTCAACTACCATAACTGACCACCGCATCACCATCAACAACCACAGCCGGCACTGCCCATTATTATAACCTACCACCACCCACCCACCACCTTTCTCAATCTCAACTACTACCACCACCAACCACCACCATCCTCAATCATAATCGCTACCACTATCAATCACTACTAGCTACTAGCATGAACCACCATCATCAATCAAAACTACCACCAACAATTGTCTCTAACCGATATTTACCCGTTAGCCATCACCACTAACAACTATCATATTTTAAAAACCTATATATTTTATTGATAGAATATTAGATTAGTTAGTATTTCATTTGAATTTTATGTTTATTATTTTCAAATAAAGATAAATTTTATATATTCAGATGTTAAAAATCAAACAATCTTAATTCTTTCTATTCAGATCTTAATATACATCTTAATATATTCAGATTCAGATGTCTTAATCTTAAAAAAAAAAATCAAATAAGACCTTAGCTTCTTTTGTAATTTAAGGCTAAGCAAATAATAACCTATCAAATTAGTTATCTCTAAAATTCAGGGCTTCTCACAAAATAAATGTGATCTTTCCCATCCGTTTTATTTACCTTTTGCATACATTTTGGCCAGAACTCAAAATCTAACAATTTTTGCCCTTCTGCTTAGAGAAAATATTATTTATGTAAATCTAATACAGTGGGGTCCCAAGAAGCCCAACTGGGGTACGGTTTCTCAGCTATAAAAACATCACTCAGTGCATTTCTCAAACCCTAACGCTTCGCTTCATTCGTTTTGCGCAGCCAGGGTTTTAGCGAAGCTCTCTCGCCTTTTCTTTTCGTCTTCTAAAGGTTAGATCTGTTCCATTTTTCTGCTTATTATTTATATATATTCATACAAATCAATTGTATTCTAGTTTGTGTCTTGTCAGTGATTTGTTGGAAAACACAATCTAATTACCTTGTGAATTGATTTTTCTTATGTTTGAATTTTGTGATTTATATTTTTTGATTTACTAATTAATTGATATTAACTTTTTCTTCCTTTTTTTTCCTAATCTCGTCTATGTGGTATTGTCTTTTTGTTTTTGTGTATTAGATTTCAACTGTTCTTATGTTAATTCGATTTGATTTGCTACACACGGATTTTTATGATATATACACTTGGAAGTCAATTGAATAATAAATCTACGACTATTAGAAACTCTATAGACTCTGGTATGTTTGGTATGATGGAAATGTTTTCCTTTTTATTCTGTGTTTGATTTGTAACTGAACTTTTTTCTAAGAAGTCGTGAAAGATTGATAGTGTCGTTTTGATGAAAATTTATTGTTGAAAAGGAAAATGAATTCTGTCTAGGGAAGTTACATTCCTGGAACATCCTCTCCTTGGAAAATGTTCTGTTAATCAAACAGCAGAAGATAAATTTCTTCATTGTCCCTCATACCACCCTCAGAATGTTTGTTTCTTTGTAGAAATTATTTTGGTCTCTATGGCTATCAAAATTTAATTCTTGGTTTTCTGTTCTTGTGATGATCTTCAGTTTCTAAGGAATCATGGGTAAAGAGAAGTTTCACATCAACATTGTGGTCATTGGCCACGTCGACTCTGGAAAGTCGACCACCACTGGTCACTTGATCTACAAGCTTGGTGGTATTGACAAGCGTGTTATTGAGAGGTTCGAGAAGGAAGCTGCTGAGATGAACAAGAGGTCATTCAAGTATGCCTGGGTGCTTGACAAGCTTAAGGCTGAACGTGAGCGTGGTATCACCATTGATATTGCCTTGTGGAAGTTTGAGACCACCAAGTACTACTGCACTGTGATTGATGCCCCCGGACACAGGGACTTTATCAAGAACATGATCACTGGTACTTCCCAGGCTGATTGTGCTGTTCTTATTATTGACTCCACCACTGGTGGTTTTGAAGCTGGTATTTCCAAGGATGGTCAGACCCGTGAGCATGCATTGCTTGCTTTCACCCTTGGTGTTAAGCAAATGATTTGCTGCTGCAACAAGGTTTGCTTTTATGGGTTGTATGAAATTCATTATGATAATGAACATGCCATAACATGCTATTCTCTTGTTATTTTTTCTTTGGCAGATGGATGCTACCACCCCAAAGTACTCCAAGGCTAGGTATGATGAAATTGTGAAGGAAGTTTCTTCCTACCTCAAGAAGGTCGGTTACAACCCTGACAAGATCCCCTTTGTCCCCATCTCTGGTTTCGAGGGAGACAATATGATTGAGAGGTCTACCAACCTTGACTGGTACAAGGGCCCAACCCTCCTTGAGGCTCTTGACCAAATTAATGAGCCCAAAAGGCCCTCAGACAAACCCCTCCGTCTTCCACTTCAGGATGTTTACAAGATTGGTGGTATTGGTACCGTCCCTGTTGGTCGTGTGGAGACTGGTGTGCTCAAGCCTGGTATGGTTGTGACCTTTGGCCCTACTGGTCTGACAACTGAAGTCAAGTCTGTTGAGATGCACCACGAAGCTCTCCAGGAGGCACTCCCTGGTGACAATGTTGGGTTTAACGTTAAGAATGTTGCTGTTAAGGATCTCAAGCGTGGTTTTGTTGCCTCAAACTCCAAGGATGACCCAGCCAAGGGAGCGTCCAACTTCACCTCCCAGGTCATCATCATGAACCATCCTGGCCAGATAGGAAATGGATATGCACCAGTGCTTGACTGCCACACTTCCCACATTGCTGTCAAGTTTGCTGAGATCTTGACCAAGATTGACAGGCGTTCTGGTAAGGAACTTGAGAAGGAGCCTAAGTTCTTGAAGAATGGTGATGCTGGTATGGTTAAGATGATTCCTACCAAGCCTATGGTGGTTGAGACCTTCTCTGAGTACCCTCCATTGGGTCGTTTTGCTGTGAGGGATATGCGTCAGACTGTTGCTGTTGGTGTCATCAAGAATGTCGACAAGAAGGACCCAACTGGTGCCAAGGTCACCAAAGCTGCTCAGAAGAAGAAGTGAGGTTGTGATTTTGATGGGATTCTGTTTCGATGAACTAGTTTTGTTTATTTGCTTCAGTTTTTTCCAATTTTGTTTTGGACATTTAACCAGTGCTGGATATGGCTCAAGAAGCTATTGTCATGGTTCTCTAGCCTCTTTTGAGGATAGTGGAGTAATTGAGCAATTTGGTCCCGAGCCAAATTGCTTGATGGGCAATGACAGTAGCTCTTTGGTGGTTATTTCTTTGCCTGGTTTTATATCTCATTTTATGATGAGCTTTAGTCGGTAAACTACTGAACTTGTTTCAACTTTGTGAATTTTGAGCAGCTTTTCTTCGTATTCCCGTTCCCTTCTCACATTTCGTTTCGCAACACGTCACTTTTGGCTGTTCTCCTCAATCTTATTTAATAGTAGGGCCTTCGTGTTGTCTGTCTTTTGTTAGCAGCAGCTTATTTATCTTAGTGTTGCTGATATAGTATTAAGATTGTGTGCTAATTATGATTCTCCTAATGTAGATCCAACTTTGTTGAACTTCCAGGTTTTGTTACCTTTGTCAATGGAAGTAGTTGTTCGCCCAACTGTTGCTGGGTTTCGTTCTTTGCCTTTTTTTCTTTGCAGGGTTTATCTTTTGTTGTCTACAAAGTGAATTTTGTTCAGTAAAGGCGAAATTAATATTTTTGGTTAAGAAATTTTAGTGGTAGTTAACTGGAAGTTATTTAGTGTTTCTACGCGAACCTTGTTTTAAGTGCATACCTTTTTTGACACAACAGTTTCAAGTGATGGTGAGTTCTTGCTTCGTCAAAACTTTAAAAATTTCGGAGGTCGAGTACTAGGCTAAGATAGTTGAACAATTCTCATGGGATCGAGGGTTTAATCTAGATGGTTGCATTTTCTTGATTGAACAAGAAAGAACACACACACACAAATGGTTTCTTGAGTGAGAGGGGAAAAATCAAGATTTTCTTTTATCTGGTTGAAAATTTGCAGACTGTGATAGAGAAGGATGGAGGAAAGGCAAGAGGGGAAGTATAGCTTTAAAAGCAGATGTGACTAGGTTTCCTTTTTCTTTGGATAAAGGGGTGGGACAACACGTCCTTTTCATTGGTTTTAACTTTTAACTTTTAACTTTTATCATTTTTTCCAAATTATTTCCAAAATGATCCTATTATGCCCTTATATTTTACTACAAGAAGTTTCAAGTGTGACATGCATAGTGTGTACTGAGTAGCATGAAAAACTTACATATTTAACAAGTGGTATGGTTTTAACGAGTTAATTACTTAGATGGTCACTATCTTTTGAAAATGTGGTACCAAAGTGTTTTTGTTTGATTTAGGACAATAAAGTCACCCAACTATTACTTTTTGACTTAAAAAATAAAGAGCAAAAAACATAACTAGGCAATATTTAAAGAAAATTTGCAAAATTATAGCAACATTTGTTAATTTCATCCATGGCACTTAAATATTAACATATCCTAATAACTTTCAAATAAATGATCCTAAAAGTCAGCTGGACAATAATCAATCACATAGGAAACTGTTCCTATTTTTTTGCTCAAATTTTTAATCTTCTATTACTGATACAATACTTCCATTTTTTTGTCTTCCTTTCTTTCTTATTTTCTTTTTGTATATGCCAAATTCTTCTTTTCATTACCTTCTTTGGAGTTTAAATTTGGATAATAATATATTATTTTAACATGTTATAACTTTGCCGGTAGTGCTTATACATTTTCTATTTAAATGGTATATGTGATAAGTTATATAATAGTGGTATATATAAAGTATAATACACATCTATAAAAAATATGTATGGTATATTTTGTTTATTTACATATTATGATATATATATATTATGTGGTATAAAATACATATAAAAATTATACATGACATATTGATGGAATATTTACATTATAAATTATCACAATATAATATGCTTGAAATATATTAAAGATATACTCTGAGTAAAAATAAAATTGTACAACAAAATAAAGAAAAAAAATACTTAAATTCCCATTGTGCAACCTCGTTAAAGAGGGGATTATTTTTTAGATATTCTTTTTTCAGAATTTTTGATATATTTGGGTAAGTGTTATTTATGGAAGAGAAGAAGAAAATTAGCGAAGAGAGAGGGAAAAGGAAATGTAATAAAAGTGTATTGATGTAGAGAGATCCCTTAATTAATGAGTTACCAATGTTGAAAGTGCTAAAAAAAGTAAAAGAAAAATGTGCTAGTTTTGGAATAAACAAAGATTACAATTATTTATGAGAATAGTTTTTAAAAGGGAGCAACCATGTAAAAAAAGGGAAAAATGATAAAGTACACGCATTTAGCATGTTATGTCATAGTAAAATAATTTTAATGATAAAATTCATTTAACACATGTCTCTTAGACCCATTTATCCCACCCGATAAGAAAACAAGTCTACTTTGAAATATAATACCCTCTCTTTTACTTTCCCTCATGTGCACTTTATGAATTCTAAAATATCTCTTGCTTGTAATTTTTTCCCCACTTAATCATGATTAATAATATGTATTATTGTTTTAATATGGGACTTTTAAGTTTAAAACACTAAGAATATAAAAACTATGCACGGATAAGTATTTTTCAAATTGCTATGCCTGATAATTAACTAGTTACCCAATTAACCATTCAGTTATTGCATGTATCTATCACAACGAAAAGATTCATATATTGGCATTTTGATGTATACAAATAAAATTTTCTACATTTAGAATAAATAATTTTTCGAGTGTAGATGCATATATCCTGTTGAGCAAAATTGTGTCTTGGGGGACAAAATATTTGGAAAAAATTATGCCCGCTCGATGAATTTTAAAATCTCTTCCTTGTAAATTTTTTTCACTTAACCATGCTTAACTAATAGAGTATGTATTATAATTTAATTTGGGAGTTTTACGTTTCAAATACTACGTTTAGATGACCCGTTTGCTCATCGGGCGGGATAAATTGGTATAAAGGACATAGGTTAAATGAGTTTTATCATTATAAATAAATTTTGGCAAAATACATAGACAACCCATTTAAACTTGGTCCAATTTTTCATTTTGGCACTCTAACCCCATTTCTTTTATTCCACTTTGACACAAAAGCTGACTAGATTCCATGTGTGAATTGCCTCACTCTTGTAGACGCGCAAGAGCCATTTTTTAAGCGAAATTTCATACTCCCAACGTAGAGGCGAATCCAGAATTTAAATCATATGGATTCAATTTTAATGTTTTTAACATTAAACCCATTATATTTTTAAAGTTATGGGTTTATATCTATTTTTTTTTTTACAATTTTAAAGAACTTTTACATACAAATTTTTACTCCGCGTCGAAAGTTATGAGTTCAGTTGAACCCGTAGTTATTACNTTGTGTCAAAGTGGAATAAAAGAACCCATTATATTTTCAAATGTTATGGGTTTATATATATATTTTTTACAATTTTAATGAATTTTTAGATTCAAATTTTTACTCTGGGTCAAAAGTTATGGGTTCAGTTGAACCCGTAGTTATTACTGAAAATATAAAAAAAAATATTTTCTCCCCGGGATGTGAGCAGAAAAAAGAAAAAAATAATAATAATTTGAAATTACAAAAAAGAAGTAAAAATTTATTTTTTTGCACATGCAGGGGGGAAAGAGGTAGCAGCTGGGTATTTGCACGCGCTGCATTTTTACCTGGGAGAAAAATTTTTGTGTCAAAGTGGAACAAAAGAAAAGGAGTTGGAGGGCCAAAATGAAACAAGGCTAAGTTAAAGTGCCAAAATGAAAATTTAAGCCAAGTTTAATGGTCATTTGGCCATAAATCTTTAACATGACATGGCATACCAAATAAGTGTTATTTATTATCTAAGTAAGTAAAAAAGTAAGTCTGGTGAATTTGTAGTCCTAAACCATACAAAAATGACTTTGGTAGAATATTCCAATGACCATCTAGGGAATTAATTCGGGTGGAAATGACATTAAGTAGCTACTTTTAAGCATGTAAAATATATCCATAAATTATAATGTATTTAAAGATTAGCTAATTTCGCTCAAACTTTAGGATACGGTATTCTAGAGTTTAAACCTTAAAGTTCAAATTTCAGGACACAATGTCCTAAAGTTAGAAAATTGTGTTCAAAAGTTCAAATTTTATATCATAAATTTTAAATTAGTAGTTCAGAAATTTAGAACACTTGGTCCTGAATTTTAAATTAGCAACTCAAAAATTCAGGAAATTAAGTCCTAAATTTTCAAATTCAGGATACTTAGTCCTAAGTTTGGGTGAATTGACTAATCTTTAGATACATTATAAATTGTTGATATATTTTAAATAGCGGACTTTAAAGTAATTATTGCTGCGCGAAAGCTTTAATCTTAATCAATAAGCTAGCGTTTGGGCAAAGATTTGGTTAAAATTTTAAAAAAGAGTTTTTGAATTTTTTTGTTGAAAAATAATTTTTGGAAGTTGAAGTTGTGTTTGGACATGCATTTTATTTGAAAATAAAATAGAAGTTTAGTGAGTTGAAGAAAAACTTTCACCCAAAAATTGTTATAAACCAGATTTTGGGAACTTGAATTTTTTTTTCAAAAACTGATCATATTCCATGCAATGTTTTCAAAAATTGAAAAAAATAGTCAAAATTTGTGGTCAAGCGGGAGCTAAGATATTATATATATATANAAATGTGAAAATGTAGTCCGAGGCCTTAGCTTTTCTTTTTTTTTTTTCAAAAAGGAAAAACCATTAATTCTTAAAAAAGGATTATAAAAAGGGAAAATATCTGCATCAAATAGCTTTATGCCGACAAAGCATAGTTTATAAAAGGATGGCTTTCTTTTTGTAGTAAAGTTCAACGATTTTGGTCCCATTGGTTATGATGGTCCATGGTACGGAAGCCAAACCACCCACCCACGCCGCGCACACACACCGAAAAATGAAAAGATTCCAACTTGTTTTTGCACTCGTATTTTTCGGAAAAGCAGTATAGCTAAGGTCTAACCTATAACTTGAGGTAGGCAGTAGTGGCAACTGGCAAGGCAAGTCACGTGTTTGTCGAAAAATTATATTATGTTATAGATATACATAACATATATTAAATATCTTTAATTAAAAAGAAAATAGTATTTTTAAATTTTAACATTCTTAGAGAAATTTTTAGCTTTGCCATTGTCGTGGCGAAAACTGTAAAAAGGTTCAATATCTAAAACTCCAATATGTTATTGATTTAAAAACAAATTAACTTTATATATATAATACTTCCTACTTTCATTTTTACTTGTTCAGTATTTTAAAAATAGATTTTTACTTTTAGTTGTCACTTTTAGTATATCAAGAAAAGACAATTTTCTTTTTCTTGTTATACCCACGGCATTAATTACCCATTTTAAATTATTTTCTCAAAACCATTAAAAATATGTATTA